TTTTGGAAACAATCTTGACTAGATCTTGAAAAAAGTGTCTTGCTTTACATATGAAACTCTTAAGGACCTAAACAATGAAGAAAGTGTGTGTAACCAGTAAAAGAAAGTGACTAGACCTATAATTTTCTAGACTGGCAAATATTCCCCCCCCCCCTTCATCTGAGGCTTGACTGGAAGAAAAAGAAAGAAAGAGGAGGGAGAAAAACAACTTTGCTTCTATTGTGGCAATAAAACTTGCTTCTGCAGGACGATATAACCATAAACTACTGATGGAATTTATAGTGAAGATGGAGAGAGAAAATGTTACTCTGAAACCCCAGAAGGTTTCAGAAGAAAAAGGTGAAGATACAATGCAGCTGAGAGCTAATTTGTTAATTCCTGTTATGGAGATGTCAGCAGCAGAACTCCAGCAAATGCTGAACTTTATTATGAACATTGATTTAGAGCAATAGATGTAAACTTGGCAGAATAATATTAAACCTATAAAGTTAGTAAACTTAAAAGTAAAAAAAAGAGAAGGTCCAAGAAAATGGAAGATTAGTAATGATAGATATCTTGGAAAATTGCTACAATGTTTTCTTTTTCTCTTTGTATGATTTCCATTTTTAATATAATTGTGTAAGCAGGTATAAGAATACTTTTTGCTCTCTGGAATTTTACCCTTTCCTACCACTTCCCCCCTTATTCTATCTGGTCCCCTTATCTGTATCGTAACCCCTATCCCTAAGAAAATTAATAAAAAAATAATTTCAAAAAAGAGAGAGAGATATCTAGCTGTCTCATGTGCTCCCAGAGGCATCTAGTGGGGCCGCAGTGAGATACAGGAAACTGGACTAGGTGGGCCCTTGGCCTGATCCAGCAGGGTTCTTATGTTCTTATGAGAAGATAAAACCATTATTACGTTGCTAATATAAAAGTTTAAATAAAGATATCACCTTCTCCTGCACCTGTATCTTTTAAATTAAATTATGTTCCCATAGAGATCACCGTTATATTGTCATGTTTTAAAAAGAGCTGGAGGCAATTTTGACTGCTAGAGAAACCTTTGCTTCAAAACAGATACTGGAGTTTAAGTAACTATATAATATGTGGTTTTATCTTTGCTGACTTTACTATTTCAGTGCCGACCTAAATTAGCAAAACTATGCAAAACTTTATTCTGACAAACACCATTTTCATCATGAATTACTGCAATGTATGAGCAGACTTGTGAAGTCTTCTTGAAACAACAACACTACAATGCAACCATTTTTATTGGATTAAATCAAATCGTCAGCCTATAAAGTGATGAGTGACGCAAAATGTCAAACCACATGTAAATTCTTATTATTGTTTTCTGTTCCACTCGAGTCCTTGTATTTTGGCAATAAATTAAATCAGCAATAGTGGAAGTTTGTTTAAAGCCACGTGTCAACCTAGCCTCATTGTAATCTGTTTCAGCAGGCGGTTAGCAGCATGAACCTCTTTCTGTTATTTAGAAAATCATGATGATTGGATGGTAGTAAATTACATTTCACAGGAAACAGGAAAACTAAGACTTTTAAAAATTTCAGGACTATGTTCAGGGAAAATAAAAATAAGCATAACTGAACAGTTAGCAAATATCCTGCTGATAATCAGCTGCTAGAACAGAGACAGAGATGGCATGAGATATTTTGGCAACAGATAACAGTTTTGACTGACATGCCTCCAAGCAGCAGTCAGTCTCTTCCAGCTGTTCCTGTGTCTATAAGCACTGGACAAAAGACTACTCACAGCATGACTATTGCTATTGCTACATTATCCATGGCAAGGCTGGAACCAATTAACAAGCTAGAAAACAACCATCTGTGTTCTTCAACTAAAGTTATCCCAGTGACTTTCAACTTTAAGAGTAAAGGCTGACAAATTTCACTTGGCATAAACTTTCATGATCTGCAATCCACTTCTGCAAAATGAAATTTATGAAGTGTCTGTAAGTGCCACAAGACTGCAATAGACTAGCATAAGTATTCCTTTTAAACTGTTGTGCTACCTCTGGTGATTCTTCATAGGGATGAGTAGAGTCCCAGCTGAGGGGGGGGGGGGAAGGCAAATGCTTAAAGAAAAGAGCTCCTCCAAGACTACTTCACCCATTCCTTCAGTCCCTAATGATCACATTCCCTTTGCCATGATGCAATACACCTTAATGCCAAGAAGCATCAACCTCTGGTTCATAAAGGTGTCACCTATCTTCCATGCCCTCAACAGCCCACCAGTTTTCTTCAGTATGACAGGAAAGGGAAATGTTCCTTAACACTAAATGGGAAAAGGCAGTCCTTTATCAATGCAGAAAGAGGCATATACAGAGAAGAATATCTGATAACACAAGAAAATGAGGCTTTGGAAGAAAGGGGCCTGCACTTGGAGACAGTTCTGTTGTAGCACCTTATTAACTCTACCATACAGTTGTGCTGAGTTTGCCCTAAACAAATCTTTCCTGGAAATCAATACAGAATTCAAAACTTCTCTTACAGATGACTACCCTTCAGACAGAAGAATAGCAACAGCAATTCCTGGAAATGTTACAGGGGACAAACCCTTTTTGGCTTAAAGTCCATGTGAGATCTATTCTGTTTCTGTGGAAAATACATGAATTAGCTATACCATACATCAGAGAGAGAGCTAGGGATCTGGAGATTCAAGTGCTCTTACAGAAAGACTCTTGTTGGGAGAGCAGAATATACACCTCTCTCTCTCTCTCTCTCTCTCTGTGTGTGTGTGTGTGTGTGCGTGCGTGCGTGCACGTGTATACACAGAGAGAGAGATATAAATACAGGTGTATACACATATTCTGCTCTCCCAACAAGAATATATATATCTGTATATATTTGTTTCTGCAGAGGAGACAGGAAAGGGGAGAACTACAAGAAGTGGTCTTTTCTTCTTTTCTTCACATCTTTGAGACAAGAACACAGTGAAACATATGAAACGTATTTTCAGAAAACACATAATTCATTTGAAAAAGATAAATGAAAACAAACACTTATTTAGATAACACAAAGGAACTGATTGAATTAATTGCCATTGATATGACCTCAATATCTGGCAGAGCGCCTCCTCTTACCCAGTTCTGCCAGAGTGACTTGTTCTAGCCTGGCCAGGCGGCTAAGGGACCTAACGCTGAGGGAGGTCCGGGAAGAACGAGGAACCGGTCCTTCTCGGCAGTGGCCCCTAGGCTCTGGAACAACATGCCCGTGAAGATCCACCTGGCTCCCTCTCCGGGTGTCTCCAGGAGTAAAGTTGAGACCTGGTTGTTTGGGCAGGCTTTCCCTCCTGCCGTATCTTAAATTCATTTTTGCCATCTTGGATTTATATATATGTTTATTGGTCTAACAGTTTTTCTTTAATTTCTAATGCCGCCCAGAGTAGACCTTTGGTCTAGATGGGTAGGGTCGAAGTCTAATAAAATAAAATAAATAAATGATAGTTACAATAGTCACTGACAAAGCATTTTTAAAAGGCCAAGACAAATTTCACTGAAGGACAGGGATCTCATCTTATCTTATCCTATCTTATCTTATCATTTTAGAACGCAGAGCTGGAAGGGGCCTTATGGAGTCCAACATCTGTCAAGAAGTCACAGTGGGGAGCTGAACGTCCAACCCCTGAACCTATCCAGCTGTTCAAAGCTCTCAAAAGCTGATACCATTTTTTTTAAAAAAACCTAGATTTTTAAATTTTTCGGATGAAAACCATCACAAAGCTGATTATAGGGCACTGTTTATAGGCTTCCCATAAGTTGGCCATGGTTCTCACAGTGGAAATAAAATACCAGACCAAGCACACCTATAGTATGGCTCACCTCAACTTTGATGTTCTTATTGCTGTGGAAAAATATTCTCCCATGACATTGTGACATCAAACCATTTGAAAGAAAATAAATTCTCTTAAGAACAAAATTTCAAAGGAAGAAAAGCAATAGCCAGGTTTGCAGACTGTACATAATGGCCAGCTTACAAAACCAACTGATAGAGTAACAGGATTCATACTAAATGGCAGGATGCCCTGGACCTAACAATTATTTTTTCCTACATCTACAGAACCTTAGAAACACAGATGGAACCCAAGGGCTAATAAAAACACAAACAACTCACAACCTACCTGACCTCTGCAAAGAAGCAGATTCTCACAGGAAAGCCAGCTGTAACTCTCTCCCAGTGAACCAGCCAAAATAACCTTGTCTAAACAAAACAAAGATAACCAGGTGTGCTTCCCATGCGTGTCTCTCTGCCAGGTTGTCATGGACATTTCTGGCTGTAACACACAAAACTAGGCTTGAGAACCTTCACAGCTAAAACTAGAATTTTACATGGGAGCTGGTGACAAACAACTGATATAACTGTTAAGATGATCACAAAATGCAGCATCCAGAGTGAATTCAAGGGTTTTCCATTACAGTACATTGTTTTATCGGACCAGAAAACTATACACACCCATTAGGCCCTGACTCACCAGATTCCAGAATCAGTTGGCTATTCTTGCAGAGAGAAATGTTGGATTTCTTGGAACTATGTCCAGAGATCACAAGGCAATCCTTAATAATTTCTTAGGAAACAACAATATATTTCCTCAAAGAGGCAATGTTTAAGACCACAGAAAATGTGTATCATAGAAATAAATGCTTTATTGCAATTCCTTAAATGGAAATATATATATCTCCCCCTGTCCACATCACATTGTCAGTAAAATCCTGCAACAGTTCTGTGATAATCCCCTATCCTATCTAATACAAGAGAACTGTCTGTGAAATTCTGTGAAAGTATACCTTCGACAGCATAGTGTGCTCTAACTACTCATACAGCCACTTCAAGTATTCAAATCTATGAAGATCAAAGACACATCCTATCACTGTTCATCTGCTCATTCAATTAAAATCCATGGTACCACTTTATTTTTAGAAATGGACAACATCCAATCAGTTAGTCAAACTTCAAAGATAAAGTGAAAGGACAGCTAGAAGTCGGAATCATTTGTCTTACCTGACAAGCAGATGTAGGTTAAATATTCACCCTGACCTCCAGTTGCCAGGAAAGGAATCTTTTTCTTTGTTCTCCTTTTTACTTGGACTGCTCCCAGCATCCTTTCATCATGAGGAGCAAAAATCTCTTTGTTGATAGCAGATTTGGCACTCATTGTAGATCAAACACAGAGGAGACGTGTGATGTTCCTAAAATAAATTTGTATATTAAACCTTTATTTCCCCAAGAAATCTGCATTATGTAAGGTATCAGCTTTCCCCTCCTCAGATTAAGGTACACATTCACAAGATGAAACAAACAAACAGCTCATGGAAAGCAAGACCCTTGTAATGGCCTGTTGGGCCATTACAAGTTATATCTCTTTCAGATCCCACCTGTGGCCAGTCAACTCTATCTGCTACAGATTAGGCATCCTTCAGTCTCGAGAGACTATGGTAACCTGCTCTGTATGGAGGACTTGGAACAGCATCTAGTGCGGCTGAGGAAGCCAATTTGAGAGTGACAATCCCTTCCACACTGAAGACAAAAACAGTCTGTCCCCTGTTCAGCTCCCTAATTTTGCTGCTTTCAGGATTGCCTCTTTGCCTCGGCCTGCTGGACAAGGGTCTCTTCAAATTGGGAGAGGCCGTGATGCACCGCCAGGCTGAATACTCAAATGTCAAGGCTTCCTATCTATCTGCTACAAGGGGAGAATGAAATCAAGTCACTTCCCTTGGTCCTCCGAGGTCAAGTAAAACAACTATTATCTTTGCAGTCACATGCTAGAAAACACACATACATACTCTTTAGTGATCCAATGCACATCAAATCACACCCATAAGTGATATATCCTGAACACTTGACCACTTCTCACCCTTTTTAGTTCTAGAGATGTGTCCAACAACCACAGTTTATACACATTGTAGTTTGGCTCCAACTAGGCATTTGAGAAATGGCAGTATCAATACTATTCATGTCACAAAACTAGCTTGTGATGGGGAAATGGCTTTATAAGAGGGAACGCCAGAGACCAGGGATAAAGTACGAACAAAATGGTCTGCAATGGTAAACTATGTTTCTGAAACTGGGCAGTATTATATTTGCGCTTAAACTAGTCTGCTGCTCCAAAGTTTATGCAAGGTACAGGTACAAATAGAACAAGTGCTCTGACTTCAAACTTGCATTTCAAAGGTTTCAATCAGAAGAAATAGCACACCAATGAAACAACTTAATCTTACCTAATTTGGTGCACATTTATATGTTAACTGTGGTAAACAGTGATCACTGGGGAGAGAAAAAAGCAATCCTGCCATGGTGTTTTGCTTTGTAATAGTTATAAATAACCACTCATCAATTATGTGGTAAGTTCATATGTCACATCAGACCTCCTTCAAGCTCTAAAATGCCACCATCTTTTAATATCTTATGAAGGACAGAATTAACCCATGATGCAGAAAATCATGGCAAAGCTATTACAATGAATCTTAAATTTCATTTGTTTTCTGTTTAGTACAAAGAGAACACACAGAACATCAAATTAAACAGTGCACAATTGATTTAGCAACCTAAAAGTAGGTTGTATTCAGGATCAATTAAAAATATTTTAAAAATCAAATTGATTTGAATCGTAATTTAAATTTTAAAAAGTTTATTGTCTTGTATTGACACTATGGCTACAATAGATGCTTTTGCTTTAAATCATCAAAATCTCCATTTTAAAAATTTTTATTTAAATCCAATTGACACTTGAAAATATTAAAGTGGAAAATATTTATTTATTTATTTTACAAGGTATTTTAACCGTGCCATTACCATTACAGCGGCGTACAACAATATAAAGATGTTAAAAACATAAAAACTATTAAAAATGTCTGTGTTCTCTTATTCAAACATACCTGTTAGCGTACAACAATATAAAAACATAAAAACATAAAAACCATTAAAATATCTGTGTTCTCTTATTCAAACATACCTGTTACAATTATGAAGCTGCAGATTTTGCCCATATCTAAACTTGGCACCCTAACGTTCCAAAAATTCATGTTCAGCTAAGACCAAATTGCTGGTATTGCTCACTGAAGCAGCATCTATTACCACATGACCTAATTTAGCAAGATTGGCACTGTGAACACTGAGGGAGTTGGTATAATGATGTCTCTAATATCATCCCACCTCCTGTCACCAAGTTCTTATCAAGAACATCTCCTTGTTGAAGTTTAGTAACTAGAAATTTTTAGTCCTTGGCTGTAACCCAACTGAAATAAATCACACTGGCATGAACTCCATCAGAGGAAAAAAAATTAATGTGCATCTCCACAAGTTAAGAAGTCAATGTAGACACTTGCCATTGGGCACTGAGGCATCTAACTAGTATGCAAAGCAAATTGACTACTGTATTGACTACTTAATTTGCTGCAATTCATACCTGAGACGTATCCTAAAAGGTTACGCCAGCAGGGATAATTAATAGGATTGTGTCCATTATTTTTTAAATCCTGTATTGCAAAACTGCTACTACCATATACTGTGTTTTGCTCACATTGTCTGCTTTTCAGTATCTAGATTTAGGCACAAAATATGATGATAGCAGCAGCAGCAGCAAATCAACACTAATCAAAGGATTACTGTATTTGGGAGCTTCCAGGATGCACATGACATTGTCAATTTCTGCACAAGTTGTGTGCAGTGAGAAATCACCTTTAATCAGCTATGATTGGCCATTCATTGGTAGAGATTTGTTGCTGCCAATGACATTATCACTATTATACACAGAGAGTTGTCCAACAGGATTTCAGCCGATTTATTTACAAACATTGTTTCTACAATATTAACCATTTATGTTACATATATAAAAACATACTGTAACACTATAAAATGAATTGATTATAAGCAGATACAGTGGGGTCTC